TACTTTTGTTTTAATGGTTTTAATACTTTTTTTAGGGAATGGAAAAAAAAGTTTTCTTATCTTTTAACAATTATATCATAACATATCTTTTAACTCTCAGTCTTATGCTTAGCAAATTAAAAAAAAATATATTCTAAGAACTTGAAATATTTTAAAATAATTTTGAGTAATTGAATTTAAAATAATTCAATTCAAAAATTCTAAAAATTCTTTAATTTACTTTTCTTTAAACTTGTATAAGTAAAATACTTTTTGAAATTTGCACTTTTAATTTTAAACTGTTGAAATCTTACAGGTTAAAGGCATATTTTTAATAATACATATCTGAAGAAAATTAAAAATTTTAGCAAAAAATATAAATTTTTACTTTTTTTTTCATATTAAATCTTCAAAATTTTGCTTTGGGTATTTTCCAAAGTAGCAAAAATAAGTAGTTTCAATTCCAAAAACCAAATTGCATACATCCGAAAAATGAAAATTTAAAGTAGAGAAACATTTATCTTCTCAATTTCCATAAGTCAACAGCTTTTTGTGATGCATGCATCAAAAAATTACTGTGCGTACATGAAAATGTTATTAACATTTAAATAGGCAAAGGTCAGTTTTGTCTTTAAATATTTTTTTTAAAAAAAGAAATAAGCATTTGAAAAAATAAAAGTGTTTTTTTTATCATTACAGTGTCTAGCATTAAATTACTTATTTTATCACAAATTCAACGCAAAAAAGTTCATCAATATTTTCGGAAAATACTTGCATGTTATCCTAGTTTAATTTATGTCGAAAAATTTGAAGGTAGAAAATTCAACACTTTTTAAAATTAATTTTAATGCTTAAAATTTTAAAATAAAATAGAGAAAAAAGCTGCATTTCGGATTTGCTCAGAATTTAATTGAAACATATAACTTGGGATATGATCTACATTTATTCAAACATATTACAGAATAATTATTTTAATGTCAAATTTTCATTTAACATCTTATAGTTTAAGTCTCAAACATCTTATAGGTAGCAAAATGCAACAAACTCTAGTTTAAATGTTTTATACAAATATATCTAACATACCATCCGTTTAAGGACTAATATACATATAACATACTATCGCTCTGATGTTCAATATACACTGTAAAAAAGAGATTTTCAAAATTAAGCAAAAATGTGTCAAAACAGTCCCGGAACAAACATAGTTGAGTAGAAAAACCGTATGTACTCATAATTGAGTGACATGCTTAAAGCACATACTCACATTGAGAGAAAAATTATGGTGAAAACTACCGGAATATGGTAAAATTTATCGTGTTTTTGGCTCATTAGAAACACCAGAGAGCTCGTTAAATTATACTGAAGTGCTTTGGTAATGATTTTGGTAAAATTAACAATAATATATGGTTTTTATAATATGTGATAAAATTTAGTAAATATGATAAATATTTGTAATTTTGTCACGAAACCTTAGAGGATAACATAAAAAAAATATATTCAGCTAAGTTTACTGCTTGGTTATTCTTTTTTTTACCAAATTTGTGGTATTGAGAAACATAATTTTGAAAACCAGTATTTATGGCAAACCGTTACCATATGAACGGAAAAATTGCCTAGCCGTATATTTGTTTTTTTCTTAAACCAAAATATGTTTTCAAAAATTTTTTTCATAATCAGGAACTTTTTCTACGTGCATTTTTGAGCAATATGTATAGTCTCAAAAATGGCACATTATGCTCTCTCATTTTGAGTAATTCGCTGTTTAAACGAGAGTTTAAGGGAAAATGAGTCTGAGACGAGATATAGTTAAACGAAAAATAAATAATACTGATTTGAGCATGTCACCATACTCAATAATGAGTACATAGGTTTTTTAAATTCAACTGTATTTGTTATGAAGATATGTTGACACATTTTTGCTCAATTTATGGAAACTCTGTTTTTTTACAGTGTATGTGTAATATGAAAAAATTGAATTATCTAAAGTAAGTGCGACATGCTATAATTTTAAAGACTATCCCACACCTAACATACTACTATTTCAATATATACGAAGCATTTCACGTACTTAATATTTAAATGGCAAGTATGCATTAAATATGAAAAAGTATTATTATCTAACATATAGCTAATGTAGTCTAATTTTCTAATGTTAGTATTAGATATTAGATCATTAAGCTCATTACCAGTAAAATTTAGCTTTTCTCTATACATGTTATATTCTTAAATCTAATTGAAATTTGTAATTCGTATGGTTTCTCAAATATTTTTATTTGAAAAAGAATATTTAATCACATGCTTTTCTTACAAGAAATTCTTAAAGGAATCTTATTAGAAAACTTCAGAAACTCTCATGGCACTGTTATCTACAACTGATGACCTTCAAGTTAAATTGATATACACTGTGTTAGAAAGAATTTTTTTTTTTGAATTCCTAACTAAATTTTGTGACAATAGACTTCGGAAGGGGACGCGGTCTCTCCATTTTTCCATTCTCTGTTACTATGGTTTCAGCAAAACCTGCTTTTCATCACGTCGGTATATTCAAACTTCTTACCAAAACGTACTGCCTCGCAGAAAAAAAAGATGAAACCTTGGTAATGGATATGGGAAAAGGAATAGAGTGTGGAAATAGTGATAACTTGAGGTGCTTATTTTGATTATAAAGAGTATACTCATGATTCTTTTTTCTAAAACAACTTCAAACGGTGAGAAATGAGATGTGTAATATCTTACTCCTACCACAACAAACAATGATAACACCATTTAGATTACCTTCTTGATATTAAGCTATGTAACAGAAGATTTTCATAATAATCTTTTATCTATTTGAGAATAAATATGTATATTGTTATTTACTTTTTTAACACTTCGTTTTGAATATAATGTCTATTTACATACGAAATCGTGGATAAATAAATTGTAATTACGGTGTTTATAATGATTATTGATCGTAGATTGGCTGTCGGGGTAAATCCAATTTTTAGTTTAGTAATTATTGTAATAAGAAGAAACTGATAGATCCTTAATAACATTTCGATAGATGTATGGATTTTGTATCATAAATAATTGATAAAAACTATTTTTTAACTTCATAATTCTTTATAAGAAGAGTATTAAAAGAAAACCGATCACGGTTGCCTAAAAATTCTCACGATTCCTCGTTAGATGAAATTTTTATTAAGGAATATCGGAAATATCTTTCAGAACGGAGAGCGATTTATTACCTGCAGAATTATCGAAAAATCATGCCAATTATTAGGAAAAAGGTACGTCATGCTAAAAATTATTTCGTAAGATATAACATTGAATGGATGCTACAAATTAGGATTTAACTGAACAGATGAATACTTTTGTTATCAAGTTAATGCGTCATCAAGTTAAGGATAATCTATTTTAAGAAATATCGTTGCAACAAGCGTTTTCAGGGAAAAATATACAATAGATTTCTTATCAGAAAAAGTTATATAATATATATATATATATATATATATATATAAAATATCAAAAGTTTATTCCCCTTAGATCAATATGTATTTTAAAATCCCTTTTGAAAATAAAATTTCTTTCGCATTTGAAATTTATTTGAACTAGAGTTTTTTGTTATAAAACTAAAAATAGTGTATAACATTTGGAAAAAAAATTGCTTAAGGACATTTTATCTAATATGGAATCAAAGCTTACCAGGTAATCCGATATCGAAAAGATATCCTAACAAAACCCAATAAGTTACGAAGAAGAGTACAGTCACATTTTTGCTCTGCCATAAATCAATGCTGTATGTTACATTAAACCTTCTCATTTGATTCGGTTTATTCAACATACTATCCACCTGTTTTTACAAATCTTTCAAATAATGTTTTTTTCCTTCATGAATAATTTAAAAATTCTGAAAAAATATCCTAATTTGCTTAAATAAATTAAAAAGGTATAAATTTAATTTACTCTCTCTAATAGAATGAGCACTAAAATTATCCCTTTAAAAATTGCTTTAACACAAAAGTAAAGTAGAGTCAAAAACTGTAATATTGATTGTTTGTAATGAAATACATTATTAATAGTAACTGTTCATCCAAATTCCTTGATATCTTGGATAGATATCTTGTTTATTTCTTTTTTTGCTCCCCAAAAAATTTGTTCCACTTTCGATCTTGCACATTTTACAAACATGACGTCTCAGCAAATCACTCTTTTTATTTCATTACATAATAGTTTCTGGACTTTAAATATCTGAAACATAAATGCATTTGGCCATTTTGATACTACATTTTTCTTTCTACAATTAAACACTTTTTTAAAGAAATGAAGAAATTAAAATTTAATTTTAAAAATATTTACCATAAGGTACGTCTATATATGTCTAAAATATATTTAAGTCTATACTCTGAATGTGTAAATATTTCGAAGCCTATATCTAGACTCAATACTATCTTGTTAGAAATTTTGGAACAAGTTAAACTATAATTTAATTCAAAGCAGCTGCAACCATATTATGTCCTTTCAGATCTGAGCGAGATTCACTACATGCAAAATTACAAAAAATCACGCTGATTACTAGGAGGAAGAAGCGTCATTCTAAAAATCATTTGAAAATATACATCACTAATCGGATGTTACAAATTATGTTTGAACTACACAAAAATGAAAATATTTATGACAGTGCCAGTTATGTATTTAAAGAATTAAAGAATTCCCGTTCCAACATGGGTTTTCAGAAACTATGATCTTATATATATATATATATNATATATATATATATATATATATATATATAGCAAAATAAATAAATACAAGAAAACACGAAAAAAGTTAAGAAAAAACAATAAGTTCCATTTATTGCGCATAAGCTTCTGCAAGTAAACTGTGTAAGTAATTTTCCTTTGTTTTATCTTCATTTTGAACAAAATCTATTATTTTGAACATCAAAAAAATAATAGATTCTACAAATTTTAATAGATTTTATGTACTTAGAGTATTATAATAGAAAATAATGAAATTTTTGGTCTTTGACACTGTTTGGAATACCAGTGCAAAAGGTGCAGAGCAAATTTTGAACCATGACTTTGAAATGTAAAATCGCCTCAAACTTAGTCAGGTGTTAAATGAAACCATGTTTCTGTCATGATGCTGCATTATGTTTTTGAGAGTAGCAAGTATTATTTCACATCAAAGTATGTATCAATTTAGCACAATAACGTTACATTTTTAAGTTTCCATCAAATTTCAAATTTGTATTATATAATACTACGACACATATATATATACTTTACACGTTTGTTTGCGTATGTGTACGTTTCTGCTCTTTTAATTTTTTTTATCACAGGAACAAGATCAATTTTACGATATATTTGGTGTAAGAAATAAATTACATGACATTGTTACTTTCAAAGAATGTAGAAAAATAAACTCATAACCGACAGCTAAAAAGCTGAAACACAATATTCTTTTTCCTTTTAAGTCAGTGAAGGATTGAAAGAATATAATAAATCTGACATTTATCCAGACATATTACTCGTATGATGACAACAGCTACGACACTCTCTGTTATGTGAGACTGAATGAAATTCTTTATTCCTTTTGGGATTTAATAACGATACAGAAGTAAATGTGGAATAGAATTACGCATAGGGAAAGCTGACAATGTTTATTTATTATGCAAAGACACTGCCATATCAATAACGGCATACTACGAGTAAAGCAGAAAGTTCATTTCTTCTGTGTTACGAAAAAAAGGAATGCTGAGAACCTTAATATCCAATAAAGGAAAAGCTTTATTAATATTACAAATATTAGATGGTACGCTTAGTTTATTTCTGATACAAGCATAAAATATTTATGAATTTATTTTGGTATACGAAACTATTATAATGATGTTTTATAATAATGCAGCATGTTTATAGATGAGCATATTATATTTTAGAAACATATTTTGCTATCTTTTAGTGAAATTTACTTTGTTGGAAATTTTGGAGCTTATTAAACAATAATAATGCACAGAATTTCAAATATGTGTCCAAATCAGTTTTAAATAATTCAAGAACGAAAATTTTCCTAATATTTATATAAGGAAAACAGTATAATAAAGGCTAATGATTTTTGATTACTATTTCATCACTTTAAAAAGTTAGTTATGTCTTAAAAGATAAAATATATTTATAACAAATATTAATCTCATGTTTAATCAGGGATAGAGCTTCAATAAAATATAATTCTATGAAGGATAGCAAATTTTGAAATTTGGAAAGCGGTTTCGTTTTATAGTTTTTGGAAATTTATATAATACTTAAAGTTTTCGATTAGTTTAATGATTGAAGTTCAGTTAAAATTGCAATTAACAGTTCAGTTATGAAGTTCAGTTAGCAATTTCAATTAACAAGTTAGATTATTAATTTCTGTTTTTCATTCTTTATTGCAGGCTGTGCTGTAACAAGAAAAAATGCAAGTCGTAGCAGAAACTGATTTTGCTTAAAAATATGGTAGCGTTTGCTACTTCATGTAGGACATAGCAATAGATTTAGAAACATCATCATTATTGTCATCATAGTTGACTAGATAGCCCAATGTGAACCAATGCCTTCCTCTGAAGATTTCTCCATAATGACTTTCGATTTATCTTTGATCTCCAATTCCTTTCATCAATTGCAAGAAAATCAGAGTAAACCAAGTCAGTCCGTTTCAACCATTTAGAAACACAGACATCGTTTAGCCCATTTAGAAACACAGAAAAAAATTTAAATATAAATATAATAGAGTAACTGTCAATTTATTTTTTGAAAGTGTGAGTAAAAATTTTTATATGAAGTTTAATTTAAAAATACGATTTTGGTTATGAAACATGTAATGAAGAATTTATGAAATATATAAATTTATATTTAAATTTATAATGTCATTATAATTATATTGTAGAAAATTTATTATGTCACCTTTAAAACGCACACTAGTAAAGTGTTAGGCCGAACTTTACTTAAACATGGAACAAATGGCATGAAAGATATGTTTGCTTATAATATTATTGCTGAAATCAGCTTCTGAAATTTTCTTAGTAAAATGATTTTAGTTACCTTTATAACTTAAGTAAAGTCGGAATTAGTACGATATAAACAAACATGAATATATTTATATTATGAAAAAAAAATAAAGAAAACTTTGCTAAAATAGGTTTCTACGTATATTTTCTGCAGTATACAATTGATACAATATTGTATTGAATATCGTATGGTAATAGAGAAACATATCGTTGGAGGAGCATTAGAAACTTATATTCTCTTTTTCAAGAGAATGTGATTTTATTTAAATATTAAGAAAAATATACGTGTTGCAAACACTATGAATAAATCTCGAAACTGAAGTTGTCTTAAGGTAAAGATCAAAGTAAAATTAAATTAAGTCAGCAACTAATGTTAATCATATATTATTATAATTCAACAATGTATTAAAAGTTTTGAAGGATTAGTTTTTAAGCTTATATGCCTTTTATTTCTTTGAAAATATACATTATTTTAGTATATAAACTTAATGTTAATGTCTGAAATGATATATTTCTGAAATAGTTTTGTAAAAAGACAATAAATAAATATTGTGGATGGTTATTGCTTAACCTTCTTTCGTTTACTATTTATCTTCAAAAATTTAAATTTGAAAATTAAATATGTCAGAAATATTATTGTAATGCGAGTATGAATAAGCAGTCTAAATAATAATTGCGCAATCTTTCAAACATTATTGATCATCAAAGAATATATTGTAAAACGGTAAAGAATAAATAGCTTGAAAGATCATTACGTAAGCATCCAAACATTATTTATCTTTAAAAGAAGAAGTTTATTTCAGTGTATGAACTTAAGGTTACGCCCTGAAGTGGAAAGAGTACTTTTGAAACTAAAATACAATGATTAAATCAAGTGCGAAACAGTTCTTTCAGCTGTATGTACTTTCTTGTCATCATTAAAAGCATTTCCTTTTAGTCGGCTTAACAAGAGAATTTAACCTCTATTAGATAATTATTATAATTCAACAATGTATTAAAAGTTTTGAAGGATTAGTTTTTAAGCTTATATGCCTTTTTTCTCTTTAAAAATATACATTATTTTAGTATATAAACTTAATGTTAATCTCTGAAATGATATATTTCTGAAATAGATTTGTAAAAAGACAATAAATAAATATTTTGTATTGCTTAACCTTCTTTGCTTTACTATTTATCTTCAAAAATTTAAATTTTAAATTTAAATACGTCAGAAATATTATTGCAATGCGAGTATGAATAAGCAGTTTAAATAATAATTGCGCAATCTTTCAAACATTATTGATCAGCAAAAAAATATATTGTAATACGGTAATGAATAAATAGTTTGAAAGATCATTACGTAGGCATCCAAACATTATTTATCTTCAGAAGAAGAAGTTTATTTCAGTGTATGAACTTAAGGTTAAGCCCTGAAGTGGAAAGAGTGCTTTTGAAACTAAAATACAATGATTAAATCAAGTGCGAAACAGTTCTTTTAGCTGTATATACTTTCTTGTCATCATTAAAAGCATTTCCTTTTAGTCGGCTTAACAAGAGAATTTAACCTCTATTAGATAATTATTATAATTCAACAATGTATTAAAAGTTTTGAAGGATTTGTTTTTAAGCTTATATGCCTTTTTTCTCTTTAAAAATATACATTATTTTAGTATATAAACTTAATGTTAATCTCTGTAATGATATATTTCTGAAAAAGCTTTGTAAAAAGGCAATAAATAAATATTTTGTATTGCGTAACCTTCTTTGGTCTACTATTTATCTTCAAAAATTTAAATTTGAAATTTAAATATGTCAGAAATATTATTGCAATGCGAGTATGAATAAGCAGTCTAAATAATAATTGCGCAATGTTTCAAACATTATTGATCAGCAAAAAAATATATTGTAATACGGCAATGAATAAATAGTTTGAAAGATCATTACGTAAGCATCCAAACATTATTTATCTTTAAAAGAAGAAGTTTATTTCAGAGTATGAACTTAAGGTTAAGCCCTGAAGTGGAAAGAGTGCTTTTAAAACAAAAATACAATGATTAAATCAAGTGCGAAACAGTTCTTTTAGCTGTATGTACTTTCTTGTCATCATTAAAAGCATTTCCTTTTAGTCGGTTTAACAAGAGAATTTAACCGACTTTTCTCTTAAGTATTTCCTTTGCAACTCCGTAACAACGCTTTTTTTGCAAAGAAAGACAGGATTGAGTATCAGAAGAAAAAAAATATATTCCGTCGCATTCACTAATCGATAACTTCTAAGTAAAACCACCTCATCTCCGAAAAGTAATCAAAGCAACCAAGGCACCTCTTGAAGATTAAAACTTTCACGGTCTTTCATATCCTGCTGAGTAATAAAATTAACGCTTCTCAATTCAGATGCTTTACTTTTTCGTTTAGAGTGATGGCTTAATTTCCGGCGTGATCAAATAAATCTGAACAAATGATTTGGCTTTACTTGGACGGCAAAAACTCTTTATTCATTGTGGCCTTTTGAGGCTGTGAATAGCTTTAATCGAAGCTAGTCCCGATAATTAGTCTCCCATCTAGAAATGCTTTTCGCTTTAAAGGACGGTGAAGTTATTTTAAGAGAAACTATGGTACATTAAAATATTAAATGGGAAGTTTATTTTGAAAATATTTAGAGAGAATTAACAAAAATTCTTAAATTTATATTTAAAAAAAAGGGAAATAATATGTTTTGAATGTGAGAAAGGTTTTTCCTTTCATTGAATTTAAATCGTTAAATACACCTGCTTTGCTAACTTAAAGAAACAAATTTTGCAATGGAAATAAAAAAAGGATGTTAATAATGCATGATTTTGTGTTTTTCTCGAAATGAATCCACAGCTTTAAAAAAATAGCTTAAAAAATAAAATTTCGTTTTATTTTTTTCAGTTCTAAAAGTTAATTCTTAAGAAATTTTCGAATTCAGTTTTCTTAAGAAATAAAGAGTGAATGCAAGAAAATAGAATTTTGTATAAATGTATTATAAGGCATGAAAAAGTGTTAAAAATGATTTACCATTTCTTACGGTTACAGTGACTAATTCTGAAATTGTATCATACTGGGTTTTAAGGGTTGCATCATACATTTAATAAAAAAGATCATAATTCGGTTGCATCATCTATCAATGAAACTTGATCTACACAGTAAAAAATTTGAAATTGAGTATAGTTTAGCATGAATAGGGCAGACTCTTGGAAGAGACTTACATAGCAACATAGTTATTTTTTCCTTCTCGTGGTTATTGAAGCACGTTAAATTGAGCTGATTTGTTGATTCAGTAAAAACATACACCGTAAAGAAATTCGGATCAAATTACGGTAAAAAAGTGCTGCCACTCAGGGAGTCGCTACTTTCTTGCGTAAAATCCGTTTTTACTGGAACATATTAAGGAACAAGAAACATTATATACCGTAATTATTTTTTACAGCACTAATTGCAGCTAAATCAATAAATCAATTTATATGAACAAATATTACCGAAAAAGCTATTTTATAATATTTAGTGGTAAACTTGGATTTTATGGTAAAATTAATTTTATGGATATTGTACCCAGAAGTACCAGAAGTTAAAATCGTTCTTTGATCTGGAGTTTTTTACAGTGTATAAAATTTTCTTATGTATAATGTTCTTTTTTTTTCCTGAAAATACTTATGATGATCCAGTTTTTTTACCATGAGCGTTAAGCTTTGATGGAATAAGAAAGAGGTGTTGCCATTTGAAGTTTTTAAGCATTCGACCACTATAAACGCACCGAATCCGTTAGAGCATAATAACCGTTTTTAATATGGTTTTTGAGCTAAATTTTTTTTTTAATTTTGTAATATATTAAAACGAATTTTTTCTCCATTGTTTTTAACGCTATGCATTATGGAGAACAATAAAATATCTTAACTAAATAAAGTTAATTTATTTTTAGCCTGTATACATACAACGGATTCTTTCAAAAAAAACTAGCACATGTTTTACCTATAATAGTTGTCTTTGTAAAAAACACTTTAATCTTATCAGGAGAATCTTTTTTAAGGTATATTGGATATATACGTGGTATACGACTTGTTCTTTTGTTAAAAGAAGACCAGAAAAAATGATTTTAATTATAAAAAAATGCTGGATTTCAACAAACCATGGAAAAATGGATTTCTAAATTGGTTTTGTAATTCTCAGTTTTTCTTTGATCTTTAGAATTTCCCCTCCGGACTTTCTCCTTAAATTTGATCTTTCAAAGCTGTTTCGCTGACAAAAGGTTTTTTCAATCTAATCCTAAATGGATTTAAATCATCAGTTTAAGTTCGTAATTTTACGAAGAAAATTGTTAGTGTATTGTAATGAGCCGTTATAAATAAGGTCTACGGATTAACGGGAAAATGTACGGAAAAATATCGTAGACTACGTGGCTTCGTGGCTAAGAATTTACTTTGTAAGTTTTGCGGTTTTTCGTAACCAACTCAGTTGCCTGTTTAATTGATTTTACTGCATTGTTTTGACAGTGCACGTTTAAATATGGATAAATACATAAATTATATATCATAATTACTAAATACGTGATATAAGATAACCTGCTCAAAATTTGCTGAAAGTTACATACGTTATGAAAATACTGACCTAAGCTTTAAGAATTCGTGCCCAAAATTATCCCTTTAAAAAATCAAATTCAGTGATTTATTTAAACCTGAAACGAAAGGAATTTAAATGCAAAATTTAAAATTATCAATGTTTTAGTAAGTATAATGATTTGAAACTTAGTTTCGAAAGAAACTGTCTCGTGAAGATTTGCATAAAAACTGTCGTATACTTGGAAGAAATCAATATACATGGAGTATTGAGTGCAATACTCTTGGAGAAAAATCTCAAATT